ATGGTGGTGATGAGAAATATGAACATGACGAGCGCGACACCTCACCGACTTCAAGAGCAGCTCAGGCGCACGTACTGCGAACATGAGCCAGTGCAGAAGGACCATAGGCAGGTTGATTGCATCTCTTCGAAAGCGTTTCGCGCCGACTGACTGAGTGGAATAAGACGATCAAGATTCACCACGCGAGCACCGCTCCATATCCACAGTGAGGTCGGCTTTGCTCCAAGAGCTGAGTCCAGGTTGGAAACCCTTCGCGCAGTCATGATACGAAAATCGGCTTCTTTGCGACCTATCTTCTGCTCGTGATGAGCGACCGAAACTGTTGTCCGCTCGTCAGAGGACTCTGCTTGACCGTCTTCATCTTCGACTGCTCGAATAAGAGTGGGAGGGTTCGGGGCTTGGCGTCGACTGTCCGAGATGTTGCGACGACATCCTCGACTATGTTTCTCTTACAATGTCAACATCTCAGCGCGATGTGAATATACCAGCGCAGGTAGGAAACCCTGCAATTGTGGCACCGGCTACAGACTGAATCACAATCCATCAGCATTTCTCCAGCGCGACTACCCGGCTCTGAAGAGGAGTGTGGTGATCATGCGCCAGCATCTCTCGATGCTGGCCACTTCGTCAGCCAGCTCTAGAACGACTTCAGAACTCAGATTCCTCTGAACCGCACGATAATCAAGCTTCATGGGTCAACAGTGGGTGGGCGCTGTACAGTACTCGCTAGGAGCAGCCACCGCCCGACCACCATCGAGCTGACGACGTCCCTGATTGCGAAAGTCAGGCGAGCAGAACAGCCTACAGTGACCCTCACTCGACGACAAATACCGCAAGCGATCGAATCCCTGTCTACCCAATGCTCATCTCCAGTTAGCTCTCTGTCCCCGACGCCTTCCTGAGAGCGAGTCCCTCCCCTTCCTTTCCACTATCAAACCAGCGATTCCTCGAACTTCAGATCAGAAGAACGCCGCAAGCGGAAGAGAAGGCATACAAGAGCAACAGAGAACGCCAGGCGAAAGTGAGGTATACAAGAGCAACAGAGAAACTCAGGGGGAAGAGGAGGTATACAAGAGCAATGGAGAAAGTCAAGGGCATGAGGCAGGCTGTGGTCCCTGCTTCTGTGGCAAACGGTGCTCCAGGTTTCGCTCCCTCCCAAGCAAAGGTCGCCCTCCGCGAGAAGATACAGATGAAAGAAATGCTTTCCAAACCCTCGACAGATTGTCAGTTCGGTGTCCTGTTGCGCACAGCTTCGCTTTGCCTCGGACAGTTCGTGCCAGCACGGCGCGCGTTGACGCAGCAGCTGTCTGCCGATATCGAACCAACGGAGACATCTTGAGCCGTCTGAAGCTCCTCCAGAGCAATTGCTTTCTTCGATAGCAAAGGGACTACGAGACAATGCTCATGCCGCGAGGCGACCAAGATCTATCTGCGGCAATCCTAAAAACCACGGTGGCGGCCAGCAGGATCAAGTACTCGTATCCTACTGCTGGCAGTGGCTTCCGAGACCGCAGCACATTCAGGGGAGCAAATCCGAGAGAGCACATCCAAGAGTGAGCGGCGCATCCACGAGAGCAGTCCATCAAAGAAAGCCACACATCCAAGAGAGCACATCAAAGAAAGCCAGACATCCAGGGGAGCGCATCCGAGATGCGGCATGTCCAAGAGAGCCACATATCGGAAAGCTCACATCCAAGATAGCGGCATATCCAGAGAGCACACCCGAGAGAAAGGCATACGCTGAGGTTAGCGGGTACCGCTGAGCTTCGGATCAGCGGACAAGCGTGCTATGACACGGAGCGAAGCGCAGAAGGGCAGAGCGAGCGTGGAGACTACTTGGTACCATTCCTGGCTTGCTGTCGGGTTGCGCCGAAAACGATGGACTCATTGCCTCAAGTCAGATACCCAACTTGAGGGATATGCCAGCCCCTGGACACATTCGCGCGACGCCGAGAGAACGGCAACACTACCACATCTCGGCCATTGCAAGGCTTGGGTATGGGTAAGCGGCAGGCGAGCCTCGACTGTTACAAGTCGGCCGGTCTCTGCGGCTTATGGTGGCAATCGTCTGGCGAGGTTGCGCTGTTCAGATCCAATGGACAGATGAGCAAGCAGCGAAGCAGGCTACTCCGTGCTGAACAGAATCGTGAGGAACGACCCAGAAGGAATAGCAACACAGGTGTCCTCGTCAAATGCCGAGCATTGCGTCCGAATGTCTGCTTGTGCTCGTCTATGTTGCTTCCTGCGTGAACAAACAAGCGTTCCAGGTCGAATCTGAGTTTGTCTCGAGCGCATTCAGTATCTGACAGTGACAGGATCATGCGGGCAATGTTGCCTGAGCCCGGGTTGCTCTCGTCAAATCTCCCTCGGTCTCCCGACAGCCCACTACCGCCGAAAGGTGGGGGACCGAAGACAAGGAACAGCACCTAGAGCAAGTCGAGTTTGGTACCAAATTTATTCGCACGTCTCGGAGAATGCACAAGCACAGGAGAAGAGTCACGCGAGTTCAAGGTTGTTAATTGACGCGGCGGTTTCTTCGTCGTTGCACAGGATCAACCTACCAGTAGATGCCCAGTCTTGGCTGGACAATGAATCTGCTTCCGCAGCAGGCATCTGGAGCACACGTATCATTCCTACCGCGGGAGATCACGATCAATATTGCATGTCACCAGAGACTTTACGGGAAGCGTCAGTACTGGACTCGACACCGGCCGCAGGCATTCGCTGAAACACACTCTCCACAATACCAGCGCCGAAGCGTATTCTTGTGCAGCTAGATCAGCAGGCTCGCAGGTGCGCCACCTTCTGAGGCTGCTCGACTCTCTCTGCCTGTAATGCCGGCTGTACTCGGAATCCGTGGGGAACATCTCGAGCTGGAGTGAACTGCGCAAGCACCGGAGCGACAAAGCAAGCGATCTCCGGCATCTCTGAGTTCCAAACATCGCCGAGGGAGTGGCGCCCTGGTGGTGAGGCTGCCTGTTCCGGCATATTGCTTTGACCAGGCAAACTGTGATCTTTAGTGTGATCATGAAGCCAGGCATGTAAGCAGCCCTTTCGAGCGGCCAGAGATGTTTCGAGCCTTGCCATCTGTCGCTGAAGAAGGCATGCGCACGTAGGAGATGGTCCGTTTTTGTTGGCGCAGTCTCAGGTTCATCGCTGTTGGACGCCGTGTGGATGGAACCGTCAAGAAGAAACTGTTAGGACGACAAGGGTCTTGGACCAAACACTCAGCGTCTCCTGTAGACCGCTTCCAGCTCTCGGCTTGCTCCCCGGCTTCTCTCAAGCATTGCAGCAATGTTCGCTGTGCTTGGAGCACGTCAGCTTTGATCTCTCGTGGTGGGAGCGCTCGTCCCTTACCGCTAGGAGCCGTGAGAAAAAGGCTTGTGCCGACTGCCGCCGTGAATATGAGATCAGCATTGCGCAGCACCTCGTCGGCACGTGCAAGTCCATCACGAGGCGCTCTCGTGCGATTGTGTTGTCTCCGCGTGGTATGGGCAAAGAGAGACTGGGCGGTCGAGCTCGCTCCTCGGCAGCTTTCAGGAGCACATCGACTGCAAAGATGCAACCGCATGGTGTAGGAGGGCATCAAGGTGGTCGCTGGCATCTATGGAAGCATGCTGGTCTTGACTATGACAAGGATAGCCTGGCGTGGCGCGACTTGATGCACGCGAATACAGCGGCAGTCGACCATCTTGGAGACGAAACTCAGAGTCCACTGGAACGAAGTGGCGCCCGGACCAATCCTCCACTGTTCCAAGCGTCCCATTACTGCTCATAGAGCTGGGCTTGAACTCCCTCGCCGCTGGTCAAGCTTGAATAGTGGTCCCTCGATGTGCTCGGTGAAAGAACCTTTGCATTTCGGCAATTCTCAGCAACGACATCGCACAAACCACATGCTTATCCATGGTCAGGACACTGCCAGGCGTTGAGAGGAGATCGGGTTGACTCAGATGCGTCCTCTCGCAGTCGCCGCAGCAGCTGCCAGTTGATCGCACCCTTAACCGCGTACGAAGCTAGCAATATGCGTTCGCAGAGTTCGTCCGCCTGCAGTGTCGCGCCGTCATACTCTCTCTCTCTCCGAATTTGCTCGCCCTTCCCTCCTCGAGCCGCTCAACCTCCGGATGCACTGTCTACGCCCTGGTTCAGCCAACGACAAGGATACGGGAGCACAATACTGGAGTGCCTGAGGCTCCTGAGGCATCACGACGGTCGTTCCAAGGCTAAAGTTAGCCGCATAACAGGGGGACACGTGCGTTATGCAGCTCCACACGCAGAGCGTTCCGCTACACCTGTGCAATGGCCCAGTTGAAGACATGGATACGGGGGCACAATACTGGTACGGGCGAGGCTTTCTTCGGATGACAACGCACGTTGCCAGAGCAGAATGAGCCCCAGAACGCCGAGAAACATGCAGAATGCGGCGCCACCTGCAGATGGTTTCGCTACGCCTGCGCGTGAGTCCAGTTGAAGACACGGGCCCCGTAGCAGCACAACGGTGCGCCTGAGCCGCCCTTGCGGTAACGACGAACATCACCAGTTCGGAATTAGCTGTGGAACACTGGGAGCCATACGATCTGCGGCTACATTTGCAGAAAATTCCGCTGCGCCTAGCTCCACCTGAACACATGGACATGGAGCACAAAACTGGGGCGCGTGAGGCCTCTTTGCAGCGAAGACAGATGTTCCCGACAAAAAAATTGGACGCAGAATACAGAGAGACATGCAGATTGCTGCCCCGTTCGCAGATTGTTCCGCCTGTTCGCGCAATGCAATTCCACGAAGTCGGGCGCCGCAAAAGGAACAAATGGTCGAGCTTGTGCCCGAAGCGACATGTTCTGTATCTTCCGGCATTACACATGATCCTATTGCCGCGTGGGATGTATCTCTGGCCTTGTGGATGTGCTGGTTCCGTGCTTGCAGCCCAAATACTTAGGCTGGGTTATCGGAGCAAGAGATGCCGCGAGCAGCTTATCTTCAACTACAACATAAGCATGATATACCTAAGCTATGTCGATATTCAAACCAGTCTTTCCCAGTGCGGTACTAATGCCCAACTCCTCAAATTCAGGAACTTTCATCGCCCGGGGCTTCGCTTTGGGGTCCAAAATCTCCTCGTGACGCATACATAGCTCATCGGCCAACTCCCCAAACTGCTGGAGCAGTCCCTCCTCCTCGAGCTGTTCCCAAATCTTGTAGTTTCGTTTCTTCAGATCATCGTCGGCTTTGACCATATGGCATTTGTCATCCTCAAAGACCATAAAGGCCCGATTCTTGTCGAATCGTTCCCATGGCTCGAGTCCATTCGCAAACTTCAGCCATGCAGCCGACATCTCCTCCGAAACACGCCGCTGTTGGGGAGGAAGCTTGTCCTTCAACAATGACCACACGTACACGTTATCAAGTGAGTGATGTGCCAATCCCTTCCATTCGTTTTCAAAGGGCGAAGGTACGTCAAAGCGGTACGCGTACATTTCAGGACAGGCCCGTAGAGCGGACCAGTGGACTGCAAGGTACAATCCGTCGGTGGTGAACTTCTCGATTTTGTAGAACGTCCGATTGCGATCCATGTCTTCTGTGATACCGTAAAGATCCATGAACTTTTGAGCTTTCGCGTCGTCCTTGACAAAGCCCTTGATCTTCGCGACCAGGCTTTGAGCATCGTAGGATCGGAACCCCTTGTTCCATATCATGCATTCGTTGGCCACATCACCAATCATGACACGTTTGCACCATGATGGCGGTTTGAAATCCGAGTAATTGGAGTAACTGGGCATAGGACCATTGATGAGGAAGTGGTCATCACATGGTGATATGGTAATGACCGGTGTGACGAAGACTGGTACCATTGCCGCTGTCAGCTTCGACTCATCGATCGTCAATAGTTCCTGTAGGCGCTCCTCCGGCGACAACTTGTCTGAGATGTTTAGCTCCCCAAGCAGTTTGTCGTAGATGACTTGATACTGTGACTCTGACAGGACACCGCAAAGAGGTAAGAGGCCAGACTGGATGATAGCGGCCGAGAACAAGCGTTCGTCCCGTAGCATATGAACGTTGCAGGATACTGTAGATGACTGTTAGTTATCTTCTCATAATTGAATTCGCACGGACGTACCTCCACCAGCACTTTGGCCAAACAATGTGACTCTGTCGGGGTCTCCTCCGAATGCAGAAATGTGCTTTTGGATCCACCGCAAAGCTTCAATCTGATCCCACAAGCCATAGTTCCCAACACCTCCTTCGCCGTGTTTCTCGTTGTATTGGCGGATTTCCTTGCTTGCCAAGAATCCATACACGCCCAAGCGGAAGGTTACCGAGATGATGATGGTAGGTATCCCCAGGTCCTGGTGAGAGATCTGGGCAAGTCGCCTACCATCGTAGATGCCGGCTGAGCCAGCTGAGTAGACAAACGCGCCTCCATGGAAGAAAACCATCACGGGGTATTTGGCTTTGCCGGCACTCTCAGACGGGGGAGTGGGCACTGAGATGTTGATATTCAGGCATTCAGTGGCCGAAGTAGTCGGCTCCTTCACCCACGGTCTCGGAGGATTGGTCACGAAGTAAAAATCTCGCGGTGGCTGTGGACTGAAAGGACTAGTAGGTGTCAGTGGATGTCAAGAGAGGAAAGTGCCAGGGACACATACTAGAGCTTGGTGCCATCCCATCTGTTGTTCGGCCAGGGTGCGTCTGCGGGCTGGGGACGACGGAAGCGCCCCGGGACCTTTCCATAGGGAACGCCATAATATTGACAAGTGGTGCCGTCGAAACACCAGCCGGACACAGTTCCTAAGCCAGGAACTTTCAAGTCAACCGTCGACCATTTTTTGGGAGCTACAGCGGACATCGTCAATGAGTTCACGCCGAAGACAGTACGTATCAGGGTATGTAGGAATTATCGTACCAACCCGGTGTCAATTAAATGGAAGACACTTGGCGGCAAGACCGACAACTCCATGGACTGTGACCTGGCCCGACTGATTCCGGAATCTTCAACGCCCCGTTCCTGTAAACAGAGAAGGCGGCTCATCATCGCGACATTTCGCTGATTCAGGGCATAAACAGTATCGAGACGATCGGATAATATAGCGCGGCTGGCTGTGGCAATTGCAGTGGGACGAGCATCGTGTTGTTGATAAAGGTTCGTGATATTTTCCCGCATTCAGTAAAGTTCATGGGGGCTGCTTGCCGAGGTCATCGTGGGCCCAGAATGGGACGGAGCCAGAGGTTGACTGCGGGGAGGACGAACGCTGATCGGCACGACTAGAAGTGCCTAAAGAATGAGCCTCGGCCGGTGGTGTCATGGTGTTCGCCGCAAACGCTGCGCTCTGATTGGCGGCCAGCGGGCCTGCGCACAACACCTCATTGCGCATAGAGGCCCTCTTTCCATAGACCTGTCTATCTCAAGATTCAGATAACAATACAACGTTAACAGTTGCTTGCACGAACTCGTTGACACGCGCGGCGATATGTGAGCCTTGCATAACTGGCAGTGCATCCACAGCGCTGGGTGCAGCGGGATGCAAGCATGAAACTCGATCCGGAGGGCAGCACAATCCACCATGCACCGACACTTGCAATGCGAGTTCTGCTGAGGCGAAGAACCTGACGTCTCGGCAGTAGTGCGCCTTTCAAACAGAGTAGTATTATCAAAGTCTGAACAACTGACCCATCGTCTGGCTCAATGACGGAACGAGGTATGTACAACGATGGTGCACATGCAATCGAGCCATGCATGATCTAACCATCCAACGAGTTCTCCATTTCATAGGCTGTCACTTTCTTTTCATCCTCTGCGCGGTGTAGAAAGCTAGGCCGTAGTCTTCTGTGCCTATCGTCACCGTGGAGCCCTTTGGTATCCAATAAATGTCGCCGGCAGCCGCAGTCGATTGATTGCCACTATCGTCGCTAACAGTGAATGAACCTTCGAGGACAATCAATGTTTCATGGTAGCGGTAGGTTGCTGTAAAGGGCTGGCCCTTTTTCATTCGGAAAAGACCTCCTGAAATGGATGCTGGATCGTTGCCGTCGGTGCTGAGATACATTAGCGAGCGGTTTGCTGAATGGATGCCTGATCGATACCTTCCTACGACGTCTCCCAAGAAGACATTATCCCCTGCAATGAGAGGAATATTGAACTTTTGCTGAGCGCCGGGGTAATGCTGGGTAGGTGGTACGGAGGAAGGCATCGCCGGGGTATCTTTCGGTGCAGATTTCGAAGCGTGATTGATTGTCCGAACTGGCTGAAATCTCGAAGACGGCAGACTCAGAAGAAGAAATGCCCTCGCCAGACATCCCGCCATGACTCGGAGAGGCTATAAGCGTCCAGATGATTGAAGCAATCATGTAAAGTGTTGGCATTGTTGATTATGATACCGTGGGAATTGCCTGATATGGCCAAAAACAACGAGCTGCGGGTGGAACAGTGAGATCTTCATCCTGTACGGAGTACCGGAAGACATCTGCCTGGTGCACCTAGTCGATCGTACCTTTGTGCACCATGCGCTCATTCCCATCATCATTTGTCTGGCGGGTAACTGTGTCGACATTGGATCAGCTACTCAGAGTCACATAAGTCAACCTTGCCGTGCAGTGTTCATACTATCGTGGATCTCGTTCATGGCATCATGGCTCACGAAGGCTCGCTCGACGACTTCAGCCTCTCGACACTTGCACTTCATTCAGACGACTATTGTGATAGCTTCCAAGATGAAGCACCACCGCTGAGGCTTTCGACTAGCTTCAAGTATAGCAGAAATTCCGCAGAGCTCGTACCCATACCCGATCGCAGCGTAGGTGCTCATGTGCTCTTTGCAGTTGTGTATTGACTAAGCCCCTTCAGACCAATGATCCTGACGACTATTACTATTCCCGGATCTCGGCGCCTACGACACGTCGCTTTGAGACGGCGCTCTCGGCAATATTGAAAGCACATGCCGTAACTTATGCTTCCGGGTTGGCTGCGTTCCATGCCGCGTTGATATTGCTCAATCCACGTCGGGTGTCCATTGGCAAGGACGCATACTTCGGATGTCAAGGCGTTATCGACATCGTGTCAAGGCAGTCCAATATCGAGAAGATTGCGCTTGATTGTCCGGCGGAGGGTCTTCATCCGGGCGATCTGATAATGCTCGAGACCCCTTTGAGTCCGTCAGGCCTCGCTCTTAATATCGCTGCATACGCACAAAAGGCTCACGCTCGTGGCGCTTTCCTTCTTGTCAGCAGCACTCTTGCGCCGCCAGGCCTGCAAGACCCTTTCGCTCTGGGCGCCGATCTGGTGATGCATTCCGGCTCGAAATACATTGGTGGACATTCAGACACGATGAGTGGCATTCTTGCCACGCAAAACCAGCTCTGGGCAAATCAGCTGCGCAAAGACAGATCAATCTTGGGTAACACGTTGAGCGGTTTCGACAGCTGGTTGGGTCTCCGAAGCATTCGTACCCTTGATGTACGGCTGCAAAGACAATCTGAAAGCACACAGAGAATTGTGGTTTGGCTCAACAGCGGCGTACAAGGTACCGCAGACGCATCCGCCATTATCGTACGGGCGGTAGCCAGCATCGGTCACACAAGCATGCAAACACGAGACATGCATTGGCTTGAACAACAAATGCCGAACGGGTACGGGGCACTATTCTCCCTTACAATGAAGAGTGTGCAATTGGCACGTCGTCTCCCAAGCGAGCTTCGCCTGTTCAAGCACAGGACGAGTTTTGGAGGCATAGAGAGCTCCGTAGAGTGGCGAAGGATGAGTGACGTGAACGTAGATGAACGGTTGCTGAGATTCAGTATCGGGCTGGAGAATTGGCAGGATTTGAAGAAGGATCTACTAGCTGGGATGACATCGCTCGTGGAGTCTGGAGATCAGAGTTTGGTAGAAGCCAAATGAATGTCATGGTGTCGTGTGATCGTGGTGGACATCCATAATCTCGTCACCCAGAGGAAATCTGATTAGCCGCTATTGGGGTAATGATAAGCTTTAAGTTAGGGGCATTGCCACCATGGGCCCAGGCGCCGTTTGGTGGGCGTTGTGAGGCCTCTGGCGCCTTGGCGCTGATGCCTGCATTTCCACAGTCATGACTATCATTCCATAGTTGCACTATACTATACACCACGTTACAGCTCCATCCATCATTTCCTTTGTCTTGACTAACAGCGTCCAGGCACTGAATCGCTACCCCAGGCTTCGGTACCCAGGCGGTGGTATTGGGGACAAATGGGGAATGGAGGAGCCGAAAGTAAGGTCCTTATCTATCCGCGAACGCTTAAGCTTCAGCGCTGTGGGGGCTTCATGTGGCAACCTCGGTCAGCATGGACGTGCTGGCCAACTTCGTCAGTCTTTCACCTCTGTCACTTTCTAACACTTTCAGCGCTGTTCTGTGCCGGATGATTCGAGCATACCGGTCCAAGTATGGCCACTACAGGCAACAGGTCTCATGGTGGCTGTGGTGCTTGCAAACTCCGACGGGTAAGACCAAGTTCCTTCTCCTCGAGTCTGGTGCTTCAGCTCACGTATCTTAGCTCAAGTGCGATGAAAAACGACCGCAATGCTTGAGGTGTATCCGTCGCGGTATACAGTGCACAGGTTATGACCGGCCTCTTAAGTGGTCAACCAAACACGAGCTTTTCCGAGACCATTCTGATGGCTGGAAAGATGGTAGAGGTCGACGAAAGCGACGAGCAGCGCTTGAGCATGACCAACTCGACTCGTACAACCCGAAGGACACACCTGATACTGCAGAGACAAGTTTGGCAGCCCACGAACCCCAGGGACCTGGTGGCAATGACACGGCCGATTTCTACCAGACATTCTTTGAGGAAGATCTTGCCCTTGCCTGGGGAAATCTGTCCGATGCCCAAGATCCTCTCTTGTGGGGGACTATAGAGCCAACAGGTGTTAATGGTCCGATCCCCGCTACAGCAGGAGAACATCACAGTCAACAACTCATGCAGACAAGCAATGAATTGGCCACGCAGCACAATACTAGTGGTATTGTAGGCCCGCTTGGAAAGGTCAGCACGAGTGGCTTGACCACAGATATGCCAGCGGCCGTGGGTGGATCTGCTACCATCAATGCTCCGATCGAGAACGATGAGCCGGAACTGCTAGGGTTTGACTTTCCCAGTCGGCTCAATACGCCATTCTTCGACAACTGTACGCCAGACAAACAGCACCCACAGGATCTAGTGCCTCTGAACCCGGCACAAGAAAACGACGATAGCCGAGTTACGACATCCCAAATCAATCTGAGTGTCTCCTTGATCCCGAGACCTGCTTTCAAGACGCTGAACGACGACTCTTCTGTCCTTGTCGAATTCTATTTCAAAGAAACAGCCCAATTATTCTCCTGCTTTGATGGCATACTGAATCCATACAGAACAACTGTGTCAAAGATCTGGACATCGTCGCCATTGATCTATCACAGTCTTGCGAGTATGGCTGCAACTAGTCTACTGGAGAACTTCCCGCAGTTTGCGCAAGCCGGTCAGCAACATCGAATGGAAGCGTTGGGGCTCCTTCAGAAAGAAGAACCTGTCACCGAGACCACTCTTCTCGCCCTTCTCATGCTCGGTGGGACCGCCGCCTGGCACGACCCGAAGGAAAGCGGAGTTGCTTTCTTCAATCTACTCTGCACGCGCCTCAATGCCAGACTGCAAGAAAACATATCGCAAGCAGAAAGCAAAAACTTGCGGTTCTTCCAAGAATCACTGACTTATTGGGAGATGTTGCTCGCCTATGTGGTGGATGATTCTGGACTCAGCAGCTCCAGCGAATCTCCCTCGACCGATACCGGGGTCAATGTGGACAAGGTCCCACATCCATGGACGGGTGTGGCGAAAGAAACACAGTTTCTCGTGCAGAGAGTTGGTCGACTGGTTCGCCAACAAAGATACAAAACCAAACAGCGGCACTTTACCACTCAATCGCAGATCAAATGGTTACAGAAAGCTTTGTCTCGAGCTCAAGACCTGGAGCGGAGACTACTCGAGCTGTCTGGAAAGCATACTGAAGCAGATATCGTGAATCCCGGAGATGGCGAAACTCCAATATGGCACCTCATCTCACTGGCGGAGGTGTACCGATGCACGGGACTGATTCAGCTCTATCGTGTCTTTCCCGACCTGCTTTGCTGCAGAGTGGAAAGCAAAGGACAATCCGCAACACTGACTCACGAAGGGACGGTCTCTACATCACACCTTCCACAATCATCGAACGACGAACAGAGGACGAAAGCCACTGAGACGGTCGTGAACCAATGGCTCACAATGTTCGCGGTCAAGACATTGGAACTGTTAAGGAGTATCCCACTAGAGTCAGGCACACGAGACTTCCAGCCGTTTCTCCTGGTAGCTTGTTGCAGCGAATTGCGGGTGGTGATGGCAGACAATCCGTCCCCGCCCGACGGCGCGGAGGGCAAAGGCAGAAAAGTGCCAGTATCGAGATCAGACGTATGCAAAGTCGATGGACTGCTGGTTCCTTCCGCCCTCAACTTCTCCGTCCTACACGCACGCGGGCTGATATACAGCCGTCTGAAGTCATTTTTGTACATGCTCCCACCAAAGCCCATTCGCATTTGCCTTGATATCGTCGAGACCAGCTGGATGGAAATGGACGACATCGCTCTGGAGGTTGCCACAAGACGACGGCAATCCTCGCGCAGGCAATTCCCCGATGGTAGCAGCCTGACAGAGCTGCTCGAGGATGACGGCGAGGATAGAGACAGTTCCGAGGTCCTCTACTGGATGGATATTATGATGGATCATGGGTTGGAAACTGTAATGGCATAAAGATTATAGTACTTCGTTTATATTTATCCAGGATAACCCGACAATGTCGCAGGATTATGTGTAAGGCTGCGCGAGGCTAGCCAATCCGGGCGGCCGTATCTACCAAGGTGCCGTAGGATTGTGTCGCTAGGTTATATCGCTACTCCCACCACTACTATACTATTATTTCTTATCGAAATCTATATATATCGAGTCGCCTTAGTGAGGCGTATTAAATAGTGTATTATATATTATTATAGTAGCTATAGTAGTAGTGTTATAAAGTTAATAGAGTTAACCTTAATATATAAAGTATTACTATAGGCGAGCCTTACTAAGCTACTACTAAGTTATACTATAAGATTATATCGCTAAATTATTCCGTTACCTTTCTAGTTATTATACCGTCTCTTATATCGAAATTTATATATATCGTATTATCTCGGTGCGGTGTATTAGTTAGTATATTATATACACCCGTCGTTATTATAGTAGTAGAGTTATTAATATAATAAGGTTAGCCTTATCTTATTAAGGCTAGTTATTCTCGGTATATTTACGATTTAATTATATAATCCGGATTACCTTTTTATCTCTATATAACTCTTATACTACCGTTATCGGACTTTATTAAGCTTAAGATCTTACTTTATACTATATCCTATACTATATATAAGATATATCGCTCTAGCTACCGAAACCGTTAACTCTCTCCTCTCGATTAAGGTATTAAGTTATATTATATATTAAGTATTATTAGTATTATTATTAAATTATCTTTATTATTAAGCGTCGTCAGTACGGTTATTAGGTTATATTATATATTAAGCGTTACTAATACCGTTTAAGAAGGTATTCGAGTTTTTTTAATTAATATTACACTATATTATATCTTGTTCTATACTTTTCTTTTAAGCCTATTTTTTTATTAATTTATTTACTTTATAGTTAGTCTTTTATTACCTTTCTTTTAAGCCTTTTTTAAAGGGTTAGTAAAAATATAAATAGGTTAAGTACTGAAAACTCGTCGCGCTATATATAAAAAGCGCTCTAAGTCGATCTACCCTAGGAATTATCTATATTCTAGGTTCTCTCGTATCGTTTACCGCCACTCTAGCCTTACCTCTCTTATTAATTAATATTCGTCGACCGGTTTTCTACTATCTTCCTATAATACTAACACTCTTACCTTTATCGGCCCGTTCTTATCTAGGATGACCTAATAATATCGTAGGATTGTATGTAAGGCTGCGAGAGGATAGCTAATCCGGGCGGCCGTATCTACTAAGGTGCCGTAGGATTATATCGCTAGGTTATATCGCTGCTCCTATTACCACTACACTATTATTTCCTATCGAAATCTATACCTTAAACTAGGCTTAGGTTTAGAGTAAAATAATAGAGCTATTATAATAATACTAGTACTATTAGATAGAGCTCATTAAGACGGTTCGAATGGTATAACTTTTATTTACTAATTCCTTATATTAAGAGTAGTAGTCGTCGTTAAAAATATCGT